GGGAAATATGTTTAAACCCCTAATAATTCCCCGAACTACCCTCCCCCCCCAAACAGAAAAAAAAATGTAAAAAGTAAAACAAATGTTAATTAAATAAAAAGTAAGAAATAATAAAAAAAAAATCCTGGAGGCAGGGCGCTGGAAAGACGGAAAGGGGCAGGACACCTCTCCCCGTGTGCAACGTCGGCCACACGAGCACCGCAGGAGGACAGGACGCTGGTGCCTCTAGAACACACTGGAATGCAAGCCGTCCAACTCCCTGCGTTCAGGGGCAGAAGGGGGGGCGTGGGATTGTATTGAAGTCAATGGCACCGCAGCCATGCCCCCCGCCCACAGTGTGATTGCCTGCCTGCATTCCGGTCCAGTGCAATCAGCAAAAATAGTGCTTGCAGCATTTTTGCAGATCACACACTGGACCGGAATGCAGGCACTAATGTGCATGCATTCCAGGTGCGGGCAATCACACTGTGGGTGAGGGGCGTGGCTGCGGTGCCATTGACTTCAATGCACCGCCATGCTCCCTCCCCCCCTGAATGCAGGTGTTTTTTCGTTGGTAGATCTCATTGAGCTTGTCATTTGAAAAATTGTGGGCTCCCCTGGTTTACAGGAATAATGTAAATCTAAGCAGTATGCTTAAAGTGAACCTGTACCCAGATTATGCACACTAACATATTTACATATTCTGAACTAGCAGTAAAAACACTTTAAATCAAGCCTTTATTTACCTCTGCATTGTGGAGAGATTCATCTTCCAAGTTCACAACAGAGACACTGAAATACCTTATTTCCCATTTTCCTATGGAGAGCAGAATCTTGGTTGCCTTCCAGCCCTTTATAATAAACACCAAGCAGGTGTTTATTATACAATCTAATGTATATAATCTCTTTGTGATCTACCATTTACTTTGTAGTGCAGGGACCTGTCTGATTTGATACCAATTGAATAGATTATTTAGGTTTTGATAAATCAAAAAAAGAATGTTTAGAGATTGTATCATTTCATAGTACAAGCAGCTAGACAGGTCAGTGAGGGCTTATTTAAAGGTATTTTACTGCTTGTTAAAGTAAAACATTCAGCTCTGCATGCTGATTTAAAAGCATCTTATATTCATTAGTTAAACAAATAAACAAACATGTTTTTCATTTACTTACAAATGGAGTTCCTCTACTTCTTGGTCTACTTCTGGCACCAATTGTGTAATGTGCCAATGCGTTGCATCCTGGGAAGGTTACAAATCTCATCTGAGATCTCAGGGACATTTTCCACCTCCTGAGATAATGTGCATGGTCACATGTACTAGTCACATGAGCCAGATTTTCAGGAAGTGAAAGGAGAGCTAGTAAATCTGGCCCTTAATTAAAATGGCCAGTGTCAGAAGACTGGGAAAGAAAAGAGAAATAAGGTATGCAAAGAATACAAAGCAGGCAACTATCTAGAAGTATGTGTTTGTAGATTGTCATTACTAAACATTTCTAAAGGTGAGCTGGCTGGAGCTGGCCCTTTAAAATGTCGAAACACCAGAGATGATTCCCGGTCATACGATCCCTGTGATTGACTGTAACAGTGTTCACATTATCAATGTACATTGACTCCCAGTGTAAACAGTGACCAGGATCTGTCAGTGACAATGCGGCCACTGTGTCGGGGGTGAGGAGTGATTATGCTCCAATCAGAGACACGGAACTCCTGCTGTAGGCATATATATGGCAGCTCAGCTTCAAAGCCCACCACTGTGAAGCCACACGTATATGTACATTTGGTGTTATGGGGTCAAGAATGTATACATTTTCTGGTCCATAGTTTGGGCATGGAGCACTTTAAGGTTTAAGTTGCATGATGACCTAAAAGCATGGTAAAATGTTTTCTTTGTGTTGCATCACACATTGCCTGCAGTATATACAGTATGTTACATCTTATTGCACAACACTATGTCTAAAATAATCCATGGTCTGGTAGACCTGAAAATTTAACTCTATCAACAATACTCTCCTCTACTCAGACTTTCCACTCCACTCAGTACTGGTGGTCTTCAAGGTTGAATGGTGTCCAGATTCATCCAACTAACTTTGCGACCCCGGCCATATACATGCCCCCATAATTCATACCTCCTGAGGTGTGTTATCATGCAGCCTGGGTTCAGAGCACTCCTAGATAGAGCTGTGCTCACATGTGCTTATGCAAGTGTCACACTTTCCAGGAATAAGGTCCACCCACAGTCACCTCTGGAGGAGAAGGGGAATGATCCATGACATCACCGGATTGGCTTCATGGCTACAGGGAAAACAATATATATGTAGTGGAAATTATAAACAAAAAGTGATGGGAGGCGGGCAAAGAGGTTACAAAAAAAAATGAAATTGAGCCTTAATCAGTGCAGCATTTAGGTGCTTTGCAGTTAAAAAGGAGTTGATAGTGGGAGGGGGCAGTGACAAGGGATAACTTTGGGAGAGATTGCCATGTTAAGGAGAACCTGCCTTTTACTGCCATGTAAAAGACTGTACTTGGTGAAGGAAAACTATACAGAAAGGTCACCCTGTATAATTGTTTTGTTTTTTCTATAGATATGTCAGACCACGAATCCAATGACTGCTCTGCTAATGGCAATCTTAACAATAAACTGAAGGAGACTGGTTTGGATCCCAAATACTGGCTTTCCATCATAGAAGAATGTTTGGGCATACGAAATGTTCAATCATTAAACTATATTCAGCCTGAACAATGCTTGGTGATAGAGGAAAAGCTTCGCTATCCCTGGGAAAAGAGGGCATTACATAAATTGTTTAATATACCTGACAACAGTGTGAATATTGCTGAAGTACAAGAAAAGAGAAACCAATTGATAAAGGAGAAAAATGAACAAGCACATAATCTAATAGCAGAGTTAAAAAAATGGCATCTAAAGGGAAAAGTCGACTCGATGACATTGTTAAAGAGAATGAAAAAGAAATGTGGAAGATTCTGGAAGTTCCCACTGAATACTCAGCACTGCCTAAGAAATCATTGTTGGATCTAGTAAAACACTTTGAAAAGCAGATTAACCTCAGAGAGAAGTCCTATTAAAAAAAAGAAAACTTAACCGATGAGGAGGTCATTCAATATTCATCTGGAGGCCTAGCACTGGAGGGAATTTTCCAAACCAAAAACACAGAAGATATGTTTAAGAAACGTGAACCACTTCTATGTATCCCAGAGGGCTTCAAACTTGCTGGTCCAGAACAAAGTACTGTTTTTGAAGAAAAAGAATTTACTTCTCAGGAAGAGGAATTCAACTTTCATAAAATAGTTGAGACATTTGGGTTAAGTTTAAGTACTTCACTTACTTCAGGTTTCATGGGATTTGGTCTAAAAATTAGTTCCAATTCTTCAGAGTCTGAGCACACAAGCAAACAGTCATTTCAACACCATTGCCATTGTACCACCAGGTATAATTACATCCCTTTAGCATCCTGTTACTTACGAAAGGATCAGGTGAGACTTTCCCCTTCTGCGCTAAAAGCATTACAGGAGATAGAAACGTTGTTAGCAATTGATTCAAATGCACCGATTTTGTCAACAAAATGTTCACAGTTTTTCCAGAGGTTTGGCTCACATGTTAATATTGGGCCAATACACTTTGGTGGGATATTCTGGTGGAAGGCATTCATGGTAGAAGTAGACAGCAGAAAGACTGAAGAAGCAAAAAAAATGACATCTGAAGCACTGAACATCTATGTGGGTGATAGTTATGCTGGATTTGACTGTTCAAAAACAAATATAATGGGATCTGCGCACAATTCAAATACATCCAACCTTCAGAAAGATGTTCAATTGTTTGTTACTAAAACTGGAGGCCCATCAGATGCTGATTCTTTCCTACAGTGGAAATCTGGTTTGGTAACCAGTAACAAAACCTGGAGTGTCATAGATCGTGGATTTCAGCTGATACCAGTATGGAAGATTATTGTGGACAATCACAAGGAGGAGTTCATAGACAATGTAAAACTTGCTTCTTGTCTGATTGATCATTACAGGTCAAATACTGGTCTGGCCACAGAAATGATAATTGGGCAAAATCTACCAAATGCTTTAGAAAAAGCAAATTTATTCTTGGAGGATGTAAAGTTCTGGGATGTGAGCAATGCAGGAAAACACTTACAGGAATTAGGAGAGTTTAAACTGGAACTCTGCAAAACATCAGGATTGTCCAGTGCTTGGAAAATTCTTTGTCTGTCAGATAAAAGCCTGCTATCATTTTTAGTAAGTATTATTTACAAATACAATTCTACAGAAGACACAAATCTTATAAAATCTTTATTGAAAGACTTAGTGGGGCTTCACATTTCTTCCATTGAAAACTCTCCTAATGCTTCACTTATAATGAGATGGATATATGACACTAACAAAGATGAACTTGACAGAATTACTGTGTCTTATTTTGCACAGCTTCTTTGTTTTTTTAGATATTTCTAAGGAGGAAGTTAAGGTGAACATATACTCATCCTGTAACGATCAGCTTCAGGCAAAGATTAAAGCTACAATGAACATCAGTCTTTTACTGTATTCCTGTCTAAGCTTCCTAAGGAAAACCAATCAAACAGACAGAGAACTACTGATGCTTTGCACTGCCAACAACTCTGGGTACTGTATTCAAAACTACAACTTTCAAAATCTTTTGGGATTCAAAGAAATAGAGTTTCTGAGAAATCAGATGCAAGTAACATATAAGGTGTACACAAGCATCAGAAGTCAATGCACTGATCGGGCTCAAGCATTTGTCCTGTACACAGGCCTGACATCTGTAGGTGAGTACCAAAAAATGTATTTGGAACAGAAAAAAGAACGTCTGCATTTTATGAAGAGACACATGGCAGGACGTATTTCTCCTGAAGTTGATAAAAAAATGAAACATTATTCAGAACATTGTGAATGGTACAAATTAGAGGAATATCTCAGAGCATTTAGCTATGGTGAAGCAACAAACATAGAATTAAGAAAAACTGTGATTGCCACTGGACAGAATATGTACAAGGAAGAAAAGACCTCTACTAAAAATAATGCAGCAAAGAATTACAGCAGCATGGAGAAGGACTTTTTACTACTGCTGGATAGACTGGACCTTAAGAAGTATTACCCACAAAAAATGAAGAATGCTGATTTTCATAAGATTTGTCAACCTTCTTTGGTTGAACAGATTTCTGATGAAAAAAAACTTCCTCTCCATTTCCTGCAGAAATTACTTATGTTAGACTTTCATGCAAGATATGTACAGTGTGCATGCGATAGTGAACCTGTCCATGCAAAGGTGGGGATCATTCAAGAAGAAGAAAACATGGATGGCACTGATCTTGTAGAACAATTTCTGGAAGTTGCTGAAAAAGAAGATTTTGAGCAGCAAAAGTCAAACAGTGAACAACCTTTTAACCCAATGAATGTCCAAATGTCAATTTTCCATTGTGCTAATGATTTCATGCGACAGTATCTTTACACAAAACTTTAATTTTGTCTGTTTGCTCTTCCACTTTTGGTAACTATTCCCAGCACAAAGTTTATAGAGTTCCCACTTTGGTCTTTTCAGGAAATTAAAAAGAAGTGGAAAAATAAAAGTGGCAAATCTTATGACACATTCATTAAAGAAACAGAGACTCCCATCATATCCTTCATTCGTCTTGGTCCATCTTCTTCCTCTAAATCACAGTTATTGAACTGGCTGATTAGTAAACAGAAGCATGATATCTTCTATCATAGACATTGCAGAGGAAGCACACAAAATGCTTTCCTGATGAATGGAGTGACAGAGATTGCCTGGTATTTTCCAGGTGGAAAAGGTGATGAGACATTTGATGACTGTATTGCATTCACTAATCTACATGGTGATGCCACAGAACATGACCTCCAAATGAAATTCTTAGAAGACATTTCTTCTGTCATTGTCGTTCTATTTGCTGAGTTGGACACAAAAGGGAAAAAACTGTTAGAGTGGCTATTACATTCCTCAAAATCACTAATTTGCCTCCGTGCAGACAAAGAACAGAGTCCTCCGCCTAAAGGCACCAAAATACAAATAGGTTTAAAAAACAGAAATGAAGCAGAATTGTTACAACATATATCAAAAACTATAACATCTTTGTTGGCTGTTTCAGAGAAAAGATATTCACTTCACATATGTGCCAGCATTGCCAGGAAACATGGCTTTGTAGTGGATGAAGACAAAGAACAGTGCAAACAGGGAAAAGAACAAGCAGATGTTTTACTATCATTGTTAAAAGAAAAAAAATGTATCAGCCATGAAGAAATACTTTCTCCCACTACAAGGAGATCTCTGGAATAAATGGTGCAAGAAAGACAAAGAAGTGACTTGACTGAAGCAAAATAGTAACATGAGCATTGAGCAACAGCGGAGCAACATCCAGTCTGAAAAACAGGCAATAAGGAATAAACAGTTTAAAAGTGCATATCCCCTTAATGATTTCATGAGATCGTTCCTGGATATTCTACAATCGGGCAATCACGGCTCAAAAATGTACTTTCTCCGGTGGTTTAGCATGTATTTAGATGATCTGTCTTCAAAAACTCTTTCAGTGCTTTACCAGGACTACCACAATAAATGGTCAAAACTAAAAGCAGAAAAACAAATGAAAAATAAAAATAAACAAATTATAGAAACAATGGAGAAAGTTTTCGAGAAATTATCGGTTGAAATTGAAATTTCAACATTTGGCCTTGAACACATTCTGAGAGAAATGGGACAAATATATGAAGCTTTAGAAACCTTTAAAAGAAAGGATACATTTTTTTTCACATTGCCAAAAGTTGCTGCCAATCTTATGGTCTCAGGGTATCCGATTGAACTGATGGATGGTGATGCTGCACACATACCACTGAGATGGATTCGAGCCATTCTGGATGAGCTGATTGAAATATTAGGAGATAAAAAGCTGTATGTCCTCTCTGTATTAGGTATGCAAAGTACTGGAAAATCCACTTTACTCAATGCTATGTTTGGTCTTCCGTTTGCGGTGAGTGCTGACAGATGTACTAGAGGAGCATTTATGCAGCTTTTAGAGGTTGACAAAGAACTCCGACAAGAAATGAACTTTGACTATGTGCTTGTTGTGGATACAGAAGGACTGAAAGCTGTTGAACTCTCAAAACAAAATGCTCTTAATCCTGACAATGAATTGGCTACTTTTGTAATTGGCCTGGGTAACCTCACATTGATCAACATTTTTGGGGAAAATCCTAGTGAGATGCAGGACATCCTACAGATTGCTGTTAAAGCATTTTTGAGGATGAAGAAAGTCAATCTACAACCTAGTTGTGTATTTGTTCATCAAAATGTAGGAGAAATTACAGCCAAAGAGAAAAACATGGATGGAAGGAGACGGCTTCAGGAGAAACTTGATGAAATGACTTTGTGTGCTGCACAGCAAGAGCAATGTGATGTGACTTGTTTTAATGACGTCATAAGATTTGATGTAAACACGCATATCCATTACTTTGCCCACCTCTGGGCAGGTGACCCTCCCATGGCTCCCCCAAATCCAAGTTACAGTCAGAATGTTCAAATGCTAAGACAGGTTATACTTGAATCAGGAAAACAGGAAGGGCAACACAATATTTTAAATATCTCTACATTCAGAACTCGAATAAATGATTTGTGGAATGCATTGCTTAATGAGAATTTTGTATTCAGCTTCAAAAATTCACTTGAAATTGCTGCATACAACAAACTGGAAGTAAAATACAGTCAATGGACATGGAAATTAAGGAAACACATGTTGACCCTTCAAAGAGAAATCACCAACCAAATTTACAAGAATGAAATAAATGAGGTTGATAGGATGTCTTTAAATCAACATTTTAAAGAGATCTACAGCACAGTCCTAGGGGAGCTTAAGGCATTTTTTGAAGGTGATAAGGACACAGGGATATTAGTTCAATGGTTAGCTAATACTGAAAAGAGAGTGGCTGAAGTCAAAGATGACATGATACAAGAGATGCATAAAAAAGCTAACGAGTTAATTAGATCAAAGAACAACAGTAAAACTATAAATACACTGAGAGAAAAATATGAAGATGAAATGTTGGCTGAAAGCAAAGCATTGGCCCCGTCTTTGCAGGGAAAATATGTCAGTGATGAAGAATTGAGTGAAATATTCAACACAATGTGGAATTCTCTGATCACTAAAGTAACTAAGGATACATATACTCCTAAACCTCCACAAATCAACTGTGATTTAGAAAATGTGTTCCTCGAGCGCTTCAAAAGCGAATCTAACTTAGTGGATACAATCAATGATTCTTACCGGTGGACCGACTTACTAAAAGAATTCAGTAAATATATGTCAAGCAAACGAAAATATCTTGTGCTTATGGAAAGTCTTTCAGATGATACTCGGATAGCAATAATCCGTATAGTACATATTCTAAACAAGAGAATGCATGAATACATAGTTTCAAAGCAGCAGGAACAACTAGATTACCAGTATGTTTACTTCCATGAACTTCTGAATATGATAACCTCTGAAATAAGTGAAGTGTTAGAAAAATTTAAATTCAGAAAGGAGTTTACATTTTATGCCTACCTGTTCTATTGTCAGAAAGCAGCACACAGCTTTGACAGGCTTTCAGAAGCTTTTTGGAAAGCCAATAACCCCCTCATCTACCTGGCAAGTAAGAGGAATGAGTTATGGGAAAGCTTTAAAATCTCTTGCAAGGGAAAAAAACAAATCACAACATTGGCAGATTTCCTGTGCAACAAGTTGGAAGAGGCCATTCAGCAAGGTGTCTATGAGAAGTCTGCAATATACTTAGCTGGTGAGGTAAAGACTAACCACCAAGCTTTGAATGGAAACCGATCAAAACTAGAATTCTGTCTACTCAGGTCATTGGCGGAGAAGGAAGATTTTCGGTGTTATATACATTATATCGATGATCCAAAATCTGCAATTAGTGACTTTGTGAAGGAGTGTGTTAAACAGTATTGTAAAAAGACAAACATACCAGAAATTCTAAACATTAAGCTTGATGAATTCAGAAACATTATATTAAAGGCCATCAACAAATCCGCTACAATAGTCAAGGACAAAAAGGGTGATATCGGTGAATGGCTGGATACTTTCTGCTCTCAGCTTGGAATTGATGTGAAGCTATCAAGCAAGGATCTCAAGAGTGTGAAATATCAGAATATAACCGACATTGATTTCCTGAAGGAAGCAATGACACAGGCTCTTCAAACTGTGGAGAACAAGCTGACCTATTTCTTTTCTAAATATGATCTTACCCATCTTGTACAAATGATTCACGGAATCCTATTTAAGCAGTTTTCTGGGTGCTGGGCACAGTGTCCTTTTTGTGGTGCCATATGTACAAATACTATTTCTGGGCACAGTGGAGACCACAGTGTTCAATACCATCGTCCTCAAGCCATTATAGGTACACCATGGTACAAGAAAAATTACTTTTCTATAGAGATTTGCTCCAGTCTTGCATCCAGTGATTTATGTTATGTGTTGGATGATAACCGTGTTCCCTACAAAACATACAGAGATGGTGGCCATCCTTACAACACTTGGTCTATTACTCCAGACAACTCATCATTATCTTACTGGAAATGGGTGATCTCTTTCTTCCAACGTAACTTTGAAAGCCATTACAACTTCACATTCACAAATCGGGGGACAATTCCAACTCAGTGGGCTTGTATAACAAAGCAGGAAGTAATTAAGGAACTTGAAGAAAATATGTAAAAATTATACTGACATATTGAATGGATTTTTTGAGAATCAAAAGACACTCTTCATGTATAACTGCTTGGAAAATATAAAGGCAACCCTGAAAGATACAGACAAATTGAATGGACATTTCGGAGTACCAAAACACACTCCGCATGTTTTACCCCCGTGGAAGATTTAAAGGCAACAGTGATAGATGATTTGTACATACAAAGTTGGTCTGAGAATGATTGGAAGACCAGCATAGGCAGCATGTTTACTTGTGTACAGAATTACATCTACATACAATGTTTGTAGCTCATTACTTCTCACATAAAATTCTGCAGAATGTGAAATCCTTTAGAAAAAAAAAGTGTCCCCAGACAAAAAGCTTTGCCACCAATTCTGCAGATGTAAATCTGGAAGTCATCATATTATTCAGGAAGAACATTTTGACGGAGTAAATAAAGATAATATAACTGTGTGGATTTATATGCTTACGTTTTTTTTATTGATCTACATCATAAAGCATGCAAATAAATATAACCATAATAAGCATATGTTTGTTATATTGTATTTGTGTATATTCTTTAACCGCTTGAAGATCAGGTGCTTACACTCCCTTCTTGTCCAGGCCATTTTTCAGTATTCAGCGCTGCAGTACTTTGACTGACATGTATTCCGTCATGCAGCGCTGTACTGAAATTAATTTTATACCATTTTTTTCCCCTCATGTTAGGAAACAATTATTATTACGACAGGGGCATGTCGGGTAAATAGACACCAAACATGTCAAGCTTAAAAATGGTGCGAAATCGCAAAAAACTACCACACCCAAAATTGACCATAGGCGACGCTTTTAAAAGCTTTTACCGCTCATCAGTTTAGTGTTATTAGTGATTGATGGCCCTAGAAGTATTGCTCTCACTGCGACGTTCGTGGCGATATGTAACATGTGCTGCGTAATGGCCGTAATCTTTGTTTTCGCAGGTACACGCACCCAACGCATGTTTGCATGTGTGTATGGGTGGGGATTTAAAAAAAATATATTTTTTTTTTTATTCTTTTTTATGTGTAACTTTACATTTATTTGGGAAACTTATTTTTTTTATTGCTATCACGTAGGGGGCTAAGAAACCCCCCCTACGTGATAGCAAAGAGATGTGACAGGTCCTCTTTATGGAGACCCCTAATGTCACCTAGGAAGATCTGCTTTATCAGCTTCTCTACAGCATCTGAAGCTGGAGAGTGACACAAGAATGTGGAGGTGATGTAACATACTTCACTTCTGCATTCTGACGGCACAGAGGGGACCGAAGGGAGATCATGTACCCAGAGGCGGCTCTTTAATTAGGCAAATTAGGCGGTCGCCTTAGGCCTCGCGCTCCCGAGGGCCTCGCGGCCGCCTAATTTGCCCTGCCGTCACATTACCTCACAGCCAGGTAACGTCATGAGCTCTTAGCCCTGTCGCTGTCAAACGGAGCATCTCCGTTTGACAGCGACAGGGCTAAGAGCTTATCTGTTTCCTCGGTCCGTCCGTTCGGCCAGTGGTCTTCTGGAGCTCCGCCCACCAGCCACTCGGAAGCCATCTCACCCCTCCGATCCACCGTGCGAGGATCCCCAATCTGGCTGGGAGGGCGGAGTTGAATCTGGCTGGGAGGGCGGAGTTAAATCTGGCTGGAGGGTGGATCGTCAGGGGCAGATGGACGGAGACGTAGTCAGCAACGGCTCGTCCTGCACGCTCCCGCCCGTGAGACGCTCCCACCCGCGAGACGCTCCCTGCACAGTCCTGGTGAGAGGCAGCCTTCATAGGCTACAGCAATGGTGAGAGCACTGTGACCCTAGATAGTCCTGTGGATACCCTAGGTAGCCCGGGTTTAACCTGAGCTCTGTGGGGTCTCACCAGCTGTCTGTGGCGTCTAAGAAGGCTGGTTGGACCCCACAGAGCCCTGGTGAGACCCCACAAAGCCATTGTGAGACCCCACTTCGCCATGGTGAGACCAGGGCTCTGTGGGGTCTCGCCAAGGCTCTGTGGGGTCTCACCAGGGGACTGTGGGGTCTCACCAGGGGAATGTGGGGTCTAACAAGGCTAGTTAGATCCCACAGAGCCCTTTTTGAGACCCCACAGTGCCCTGCTACCCTGGTGAGACCCCCTCGGAGCCCTGGTGAGACCCCCACAGAGCCCTGGTACCAGGGCTCTGAGGGGTCTAAGGAGCCCTGGTGCTGGTGAGACCCCTGAAAGCCCTGGTCTAACCAGGGCTCTCTGGGGTCTCAACTGGGCACTTTGGGGTCTCCCCTGGGCTCTGTAGGGTCTTGCCAGCCCTGGTTAAACCCCACAGAGCCTTGGTGAGACCCAGCAAAGCCCCGGGGAGACCATATAGAGCCCTGTGGTATCTCACCAGGGCTCTGTGGGGTTTAACAGAAAAGCCTTAACCCCATAGTTCTCCTTTAAGTCAAAAGGTTTTTAAGGAATTTCAAATGCTGATTAAATCACACACACTGAATACTGCACCTTAATGTTTTTAGGTTTTAGCTTCCTGCAAAATCAGCTGGTCCCCTGAGCACTGGTTCTGATATCCTATTTTAGGGTGGCTCCTTTCCCTTGCAGGGTCCTTTAGAACCACTCTTGTGTGTGCTAGGTAGCTCTGTGTGTCTGCAGGAACACACACAGGGTGGCTCCCTTCCCTTGCAGGGTTTTATGGAGCCACTCTTGTGTGTGCTAGTAAGATGTGTGTGTCTCCACAAACACGCAGACACAGCAAGGCCAGACACTTCCCTTTCCCCCTTCTCCCCACCCCTTCTTCCTCATCCCTCCCTTCTCCAAGCTAGTAGATATACAACTTGTGGAGACTTTGCTGTTCCTTGTGATCTTGTACTGGAAAGGAAGTTCTGGAAAGCTGAGCTGAGAGAGTTGGAGCCAACTGTTTGGAAACATGAGGATAAAAATGTAAATACGTTGCTAGGTAATGTATATTTGTTTGATCTGGATTCATTGTTGAAAAAAGTTCGACAGTATAAGAAAGAGCTATGGGACAACCTTTTTTGGCCATAATTCTCTCAAGCAAAACAGGAGGACATGTACTGTGTCCTCTTGTGACCCAAAACTCAGAATATAGTGGGCTATTGCCCACTATACAGTATGCTGACAGAACAGAGCTGCGCTGCAGCCAGGACGGATACTGACAATATTGTCAGGATCCACCCCATCACCTGATTGACAGCTGGCTCTACCTCTCTAGTAGCAGAGCCAGCTGTTCCTGACCCCTCCCCGTTTATCCCTCCAGTCAGAGCTGGAGGAACGGAGAGGGAAGTGGGGGAATCCCTTCGGGGAGCGATGACTGACAGTCACTGCTCTCTGTAGGGAGCAGATCAGAAACTGAGCAATCAGCAGTATGTGATCACTCCGTTCCCAATCAAAAGAACTGACGCGAGTGTATTTCAGTCTTCCCATAATTCTCATTTAATACTACTTTGAACTTTGAACAAGCACATGGACCAGGCAAGTCAGACTGAGATTAGAACTCTTCAGTCTGTGAACATATTCTGGAGCAGTTTTCTAGAAACTACTGAAGAAAGCGGATCACAATGACAGCCAGGGACTTGGTACTTTCAGGAGGAGAGGCCCACAATAGTAGCCCTAGTCATTTCTCACTCCAGGTTTCCTTTAATGCTTTCTGAGTCACTGACCCTGAAAAAGAGCAGATGCTTCCAGGTTACTCTTCCCTATACTAACAGCGGCACGGCTGCTACAATGAGAAAATGACAAGAAAAGCTCTCTGCAAAAACGGAGGTTGTAAACCTGATCTTCACCACCTTCAGAGTTAGGCCCCGTTAACACTTGCAATTGGGTGTACACTGCAAGTTCCAGGGGCAAGAATCCACGGATTCTGGTGGATGTGATCACAGATGTGTGCGAATAGCTGCGGCCAGAAAGCTAGTACAATGCAATGAGGCTGACAGCGGCCTTAACTGTGTGAATGTAAATGGACATCCACCGATTACCTGGGGGTTAGGGACAGATGATCATCCTTGGACACAGTCTGTCCCCATGCACAGTTAATAAGTGTCCCTACTTTTTTACATTTGGCCAGTTGGAAAATCATTTTGCATGCAGATTAAATTTTTTTAAAATTTTCTTTGAACTGTTCAAAGCTAAATACACAGAGAGGCAACAGGAAAGTCAGGGGGATTCCCTTGTTAGACAGTTGTCACCGGAACAGATGTCCCCATTGGAGGATTTCCCCTCGCCTCCTGTTCTGGGGACAACTCTAAAATTTTAAATCTCCCCTTACTTTCATTTTCTGGGACAATGGCACCAGGGAAATAGAGGGATGAACCAAAACTAGAGATACACTTTGAAGCGCATGTAAAATATGAAGTACTAATAACAAGCAGACAATTGCATATCTAATCTGTATTTTTAAAATGGTAAGCCAAGTATCTGAAAAATAACTTTTATCCAGAGGTCATGTGACTTTAATCAGACTCTTAACAATACTTTTCATAGGATGGGGACATACAAATGGGGATCAAAGCCTCCATTGCCCAACAGAACTCTACTTACTCCTATGCTCAGGGCCAGATTTACCACAAGGCCACGTGTAGGCGGGGTTCACTCTTGGGGTGTTGCGTGTGTGTTCCCTTTTGGTTGGTTGGGTAACCCCATGCATGCAACTTGAAACCAGACACCCCACGGTCAGGGGCCACGGCCTTGGCCTCGTGCAAACACTCCCACACGTGTAGTACTGCGTACACAGGGCCTCATGCTTCAACCGCCTCTGCGGTCTTCGGCGCTTCCTCGCCCTTAGGGAGATAGGCCCCCATGAACGGCACCCTGTGTCAGGCATAGCCCCATTGCGCACCTACCCTCCTCAGATGGTTACAGCCACGATACAGTCCAACATCACACTCCGGTAGAACCCTACCTTCTCAGAGTTTGGAGGGAGAAGAACCAGTCCACACAGATAGTCTTTTTGTTGGTTTTACTTGAATGTATAAACAGGGCAAAGTATACGTTTCAGCCACCCCTGGGTGGG